CTTTACTTTGCTTACTTTGTACTGACCTTTGCTAGGTTTTCCTGACCATGAATCTGGACTAGCCTGGGGTGTCTCCTCATGTCTTCCTGGCTATGAACCCTTCTAGCTCGATCATGATTTCTGGAACTTCCCTATAGAGCCTGGACTGTGTTTTCTCTGCTCTCATCTCCTGTCTCTTCATTGCTGAGCCCAACACTTGGAATAAGACCAGGCGTCAGGCCATTGTAGCCTTCGGGATATACCACATCATTGCACATGTATGTTAAGTTTCATTGACTATTCTAAGTTCTCCCTTTCTGATTATGGTTCAAGGAGATTTCAGGTGTTCTAGAGGACAGCCACCACAACTAGTATCTTATTCCCGGAATACAGACAATCAAACAAACGCATTAGGCCTAATGACCTCTCTTTGGTGACCTTTCTGATGTACAAAGGTTCATTAGAAAGCTCACCAAAGGTCATTTATCATGATATATTTAAATAGTTGATCTTTTAAATTAGGTTGATATTTTTTTAGGTTGATTTTAAATTAGGTTGATTTTTTGTGGAGTTTGCATGCTCTCCTTCTCTGGTTTTCTCCCACTATCAAAATACATACTGTTTATGTTAACTGGCATCTTTAAGGAGTCTTCATTATGTCTATGTATCCTGTGCTAGGAGCCCAGTGCCTGCTGAATTAGGCACCAGCTCACTGCCACCCTGTATAGGAAAAAATGCCTTTATTGTTTTGCACCACACTGTATATATATTTTGACCTGACCAGAGAACAATTCATCAAGTCCATTAGTGACCAACACATAAAACAAGCACTTAAAAAGACTGGAATGGTGACACACTTCAGTAAATACAGAAGGCTGAAGGGGCCTGACTCAACACAGTCCTTAACTGCTGTGGAATGGCATCTAAAGTTACAGGTTAGCTCTAAATCACATTTACTCTCCAGGGCAACCTGTAATCATACAAAGTGGTACCTCAACAACTGAAGGCTCCCAGCTGTGTGACACAAGTTCTAATACTCCTAGATTCTGTCTTTCATATGCACTGCCCACCTGCAGCACCCACAGCAAGGACAGAAGGAGCTGCAGAGGGTTGTGTTGCTCTTCCCTTGAAGAGGCTACTTGTGAAAAACACTTTGGTTTGTGTTGCCTGATCATTTACATCTTTTAATCAATGTACTGAAAAAGTAAAGGGGCAACCGATGTTTAGATACGTAATAGAAAGTGTGGAGGCATAGTGGCACAGTGGTTAGCACTGTTGCCTCACAGTGTTAGGACCCTGAGGTAAATTTCAGGCCTGGAGTACTATCTGTGTGGAGTTTGTATGTTCTCCCTCTGTTTGTGTGAGTTGAATAATAATAATAATAATTAATAATAATTGCTTACACTTACATAGTGCTTTTCTGGACACTCCACTCAAAGCGCTTTACAGGTAACGGGGACTCCCCTCCACTACCACCAATGTGCAGCATGCACCTGGATGATGCGACAGTCATAGTGCGCCAGTATACTCACCACACATCAGCTATCGTTGGTGAGGAGAGCTGAGTGTTGAAGCCAAATCACAGGTTTAATCATGGCCATGACTGATTAAAAGCCAATGTGAAATTTGGCCCAGATGTCAGGGCTACACCCCTACTCTTCTCGCGAAACATCCTGGGATTTGTAATGACCAAAGAGAGTCAGGACCTCGGTTTTACGTCTCATGCGAAGGACGGCGCCTTTTTAAAGTATAATGTCACTATACTGGGGTGTTAGGACCCACACAGACTGCACGGTGAGCGCCCCCTGCTGGCCCCACTAACACCTCTTCCAGGCAGCAACCTTAGCTTTCCCAGTTGGTCTTCCATCCAGGTACTGACCAGGCTCACACCTGCTTAGTTCGGTGGGTTGCCATCCTGTCCAGGGAATACTCTGCCTTACTTCCATCTCTTGTCAAGATAGCCTCTGGCTCTCCAATGACCCTGAAATGGATGAAACGGGTTAGAAAAGGTCTCAACAGAAAACTAGACAAAAGTGTATTTAGATTTGAG